TGAATGCATCATACACTACTCGATCGCGACGCGGCTCAACCTCCGTCACCGCGACACGTCGCTGCGGAAACCCCACCGTCGTCGATCTCCCGGACGGCTGGGGACAGCGCCGACCCGAGGCGCACACGAGACTTCTTTGAAATACGGCGGCCCCGGGTGCCGTAGCCTAGTAAGCAGGCTTATACGGCTGATCGCGGAAAATAGCCCGATTCGACCATCGTCGTCCAAATAGACTTCCAGCCGTCGCGTTGCAGCGAATGCGAATTTGAGTCCTGTGATAGTGATATAACTACTTCTAATGTCCTGGGGTTGCCATACAAAACTCCTAAAGAGTCAAGATCATAGTTGTCGTGTAAATCAAGATATTCGTCTACGCCATTAAAAGTTACAGAACTAATGTGTGAATCACCATCAGGAGCGCATGTAGAGAACGAAATATATATTATCCAAGAATCCAATCCGCTGATCCCATTGGTCGGACGAGATCTCAGCGTGCTGAGTTTCGAGCATGGTCCAACGATCTCTGGCGCTGCGTTGGGCATGTTATGGTTCACAGGGGAAGAAAACGAGAGTAGTTTGCCGTAGGGGTTAGAGATCCTGAAACTTCAGTCCATCTCGTGGGGGAACACGCAGAAGCTGAGATCCCTGTTCCCCGCCCCCCAGCGCCGCGCGACGCGCCCACCGTGGCGTGTTCGACTTCTGCTGCCTCTCGCTCGACATGGAGTGACTTTTCGAGACCGCCGACCCCGACTTCGTACGGCGAAGTGCTCTCAGTTTCTTCCACAGTGGCCCGGAACATGCCGAAGGCAGCGTCAGATATCGTTCGACCATCGTTCAACCCCCTCAATTATCATTTGTCCGAATCCCGAATAATGAACCGTTCGTTCTGTGTATGCGACACCAAGTCTTATGCTATGAGATTCCCCTTTGCCTCTAAGATGGAAATATAGAGAAATACGCAAATACACAAATACACAGATACACAATGACAATGTTACTCGCCAAGTCTATGCTTGATGAATATTTATCGAATTTGTACAGGTAATCTTCGATTAGCCAGGAAAGTAGCGCCCAGAGGAGAGAGAGAGAATGAGCTGTTATTTATTATTGCAGCTCAGTCGATACTCGCTCCTTATGCTCTTATCTGGCCGGCGCTGCTGAAGCAGCCCGCCGGCGAAATTCTTTCAAGTTCTGAAAAGGGGGGCATAGGGTAGATCCGGGAGGCGGCGGCCATGGTCAGGACCAATCCGATCCCGGAGGGGTTGAGAGATCGCCCGTTCAGCGAGCAGGCGGAGGCCTTGCCAGCGCGGGAGGCGCTGCGGGCGGTGCTCTCGGCGGCCCCGGGCTTCAGGGATGAGACCCCCGACCCCGTGACCTTTGCGACGGGGCTGTTGCCCCTAGCTAACGCGATATTTAGAGGGGACATGCCCCTGGAGGTGAATCAGTTTCGCAGGGGAGCAG